CAAAGGGTAACTGTCACTTTAATGAGGATCAAACAGGACCTGTCTTGTCTTAGGGTGCATAATTAAGAGGAAAATATGGATCATTTTTTGTTGTTAAGAATTGTTTTTCAGTTTGTCTGTAAAATACTACACTGTTTAACACACAGTCTGGCTCAACTCCTTTAAACATCAGGTGTCTGTTCTATAGCAATCATTTTAGCCAAAGGGAAAGCTGACCATGTAATAAAATTAACTTCACACAAAGGATTAAGAATAAACAGCAGCCTTTGTGCCTATTCAGCTGTAGAACTGATTGGATTATTGTGTGCTTGTAGCAGATGTAACAATAGAAATGAGTAGCGTTATGTAATTCCACAAACAACAGAGATGACATCTACTGAGTGGTGATGGGTAGTGCTTGTGTATCTTGTGTTTTGCTTACATGTGTAACCTCAGATCACTTACTGGGGGCAAAAATATCAGGAAAATAAAGACTGTCCACAGTCTTTGCATTCATTGCACCCTTTTTTTTCTTCTAGGTATCACAGAAGACGCAAGAATCCTAATCCTCCCAAAGACCGATAATTAAGATAATTTCTTGATCATCAACACTTTGCTGTTAATCTTTATTAGAAATAAAAATTACAGAAAATGAGATGTTTGGCTATAACAAAACACTTAATTTGACTGTTATTTTCCACTTCAACTAGTTGACAGAAAAATGGCACTGATGAGACAGAGCGTCAGTGAAGGCAGTTGTGCCTGTGCCTGGTCAGCACATGGGCCGGTTTTAGAATGGAGAATAGGATGTAACAGGCCATGGAGTGCTCTGACTAAACTTGGTCACAGCCTCATTGTTTATAAAGTGAATCCATACAAGTCTTGTGTCAAAATGGGAAGTCTAGAAATGGACACATTAGGGTTTGGTGGTTTGCTGGGGGTAGTAATTTTTTTTCTTCTTTAGAAATTTAGTAACGTAAATGCAGGTAAGCTTGAATACTGAGGTATTAATAAAAGAGTGTTTATGAAAAATACTGTATGAGGTATTTATGAAAACAAATAGTTTTGCTTCTTCTGTTACACTTGTAAGATACCTGGTTCCATGTTTGATTCTACATCGGCCAAGAGATTGTATCTAAGGCTGTTGTTGTGTACTGAAAAGTGGCCAACTTGGTTTCAATTTTTAGCATCCATAGAATCATAGAATTATCATAGAATCAACTGGGTTGGAAAAGACCTGAGATCATCAAGTCCAACCCTTGATCCAACACTGCCGTGGTTACTAGACCATGGCACTAAGTGCCACATCCAGTCTCATCTTAAAAACCTCCAGGGATGGTGAATCCACCACCTCCCTGGGCCGCCCATTCCAATGTCTGATTACTCTCTCTGTAAAAAATTTCTTCCTAATATCCAACCTAAACCTCCCCTGGCACAGCTTAAGCCCATGCCCTCTTTTCCTTCTGCTGGTTGCCTGGGAGAAGAGACCGACACCCACCTGGCTACAACCTCCTTTCAGGGAGTTGTAGAGTGTGACAAGACATAGTAACTCGTCCTTCAAAATCACCCAGCGTTCCCAAATACCTGAGAACTTCTGTGTGCATTTGTGATTCATGGGCAGTTTTTCTGTTTGTTTAATTCCCAGCTACTGCTCAGTGAGGATGCTACAGCTATTCCAATTTATATATGAAGTTCTTTGCGTCTGCAGGGTAATCACTGAAGACTCCCAGCTCTTTGTAGCTTACTTAATAGGAAGGGTTGACCCTTTATTATATAAAATGCTTTAAATTAAAGAAATTTGGTCTGATTCTACCTCGTTGCTTTAGCATTTTGTAGTGCTTAAATGTTCCTGCTCTTGTAATATTCTATGTCATCTAGCATTTTTTCCCTCAGGAAAAGGCAATTCTTTGTTCCAATCTACAGTTTTGGGCATCGGTCTTCTGATAAAAAGGGCTGACTTGGAACACTGTGCCTCTGCAGAGATCCCAGTGACTTCATAAAGCCTTCTTAGCAAATCCTTGTAAATAACCAGAAAATAGTTTACTTCTCATACAGGATACATTTTTATTGCATTTCCTTTCCAAAGCAAGCTGGATAACCTAAGAAGGTTTTTGTTTCCTCTGTTAGTTTAGTGCCATTTTGCCAGCATGTATTATCTACAGATTTTGCTAGAAGTTGAGTACTGTATGGAGCCTCTTATCTTGGTCATTGTTAGTTTCTAAAGTTATCACTAAATCACCTTTTTTTCTTTGAATGTCCTTAAATTGTGAAAAAAGTGATGTTGGATGTGTGTAAAAAGACTGCCTTTAAATACCTCTGGAAAATTTTATGTAAAGCTTGTTTAAGTGCATTTTTAAATCTGAATGCCGGGTAGCTGATAATGGTTTTTCATTGCTCTGTTGTGCTTGTAAGATATGAGTCCATGCTTAGGCTGACATCAGCCAAGTGATTTTGGCTCCTTATTAATGATGTGTTACTCACATAACAAACATGCTGTTTTGGAGGAATGTCTGTGCTGCCTATGCAAAGGATGTCTGCTTAACTCTGCAAGTACGATCACATGAACATAATTGTGGGGTTTTTTCTGCCTAGAATATAACTTTTAAAATAGTTTGTAGTAATTTCTAGTACAACAGATTTTAGTATTTTCATCAGTTCATGGTGCCTGGTACTGACACTGGCATATAACTGAGATGACATCTCTTGTAGTGTTTTATTATGTTCCACAGCTTAACTGCATTGAGTCCCCTTTATTTTTAGAAAGCTGAGACCTAATTTGTCACTCCAGTGTAAGAAAAAATATTCTTGGACTAACTTAAACTTTCAGTTATTTCCTCCCCCCCTTTTCTCCAATACTTTTGCTTATTGCTGCCTAATACTGCTAAGACATTTTGTTTTACAGAGACCTTCTGTTATGGCATTTATCTGTTCATGCCTAACCCTGTTTATGATCAAACATCTACAATCAGTGTAGAAATGCTGGATTTCTCAATGTTTCCCAAACATTTTGGATGCTTTTCAGGCATTTTGAGGGCTAAAAATCTATTATGTACTTGATTCCTATCTTTAAAGTACCTTCTCTTCTGACCATTACTGGAAACTGAGTCTAAAACACCTGTTCACTACATATGTCCTCTGACATTTTGTTATTAATTCATAACATTGATGTTTTATCCCTGCATTGCGCTCCCTCTTTCAATATTTCTCTGTTTGCTTCTACTAAATCTTTTTCTGGGGTCATCTGAAGCATGACATAATTAAAATACTACTCTCAAAGTAATTTGAAGCTCTCTTCTTGATTTTCTAGGTATCAAACAACTACATAAAGTTATGTTTCTCTTCACTTGAAAACTTGGAATTCAAAATTCATCCACCCACTTGATTCTTGTCCCACTTCTATGCAAAAGGAAATCCATTTGAAAGTTAGTTTGGGACTTCTGTTTTCTGTTGCTCTTGTTCCTTGGAATTGAAAACTTAAATTGCATAAAATTCACAATGTTAAGTCTACTCTGGCACTTTATATGCAATTTGGGACACTTACCCTTTTAGACTGTGTATCTAGTAGCTGTTAAGTGTTCCAGACCATGTTAGTTCATTGCTGTGGATAGTATACAGTTGGGTGTGTCTTACTGATTGATTTTTGGTTTTTAAATGTCTCACTACAAGTCTCCTCAGGCCTTGCTTGCCTGCATGCCTTTAGAAAACTCTGTTTCAGTCAATTATCAAAAATCTTGTCTGTAATTCAGGGTATCACAGAATTGTTAGGGTTGGAAAGGACCTCTGGAGACCATCCAGTCCAACCCCCCCCACCAGGCAGGGTCACCTAGAGCAGGTGACACAGAAATGCATCCAGATGGGTTTTGATGGTCCCTCCAGAGAGGGAGACTCTATGACCTTCCTGGGCAGCCTGTTCCAGTGCTCTAGAACAGGAATTCCAACCATTTAAATTGGAGTTCGATTTATCCTGATGCCTTCATGAAAAGAATTCTTTTCACTGCCCCTAGTAGTTAGCCCTGAATTAAAAACGGAAGATGCTTTTAAGACGGGCCTTTTCTGTGTGGCGCTGCCGATGTTTTGCAGATTCTGGGTACCACCACCAGGAGGCAGCCTTGTCCAGGAACGAGACTGGATCTGTCAGAGATCCTCGAGGACTTGGCTGTGTGGTCAAATTTAACCAAGAGACGGGAGTAAGCTGCAGTTCTTTACTTCAATTTGTAAGTACTTCAGAAAAAGGAGCTCCCAAGCAGGTCCGAAAGTGGTTGGATTTAAAGGGTCAAAGGTTCTTATGTGGTGCTTGCCTGTTTGCTTTTAACTTTTGTAAGGTGTCTCAGAGATGTATGTTCATGTTTAAACCAAAAAAGTTCCACCTTCCCAGTTAGGGAAAAAATGAGTCGACAGAGGAGCATGTGACAAGTGTCATGTCTTTATATTTCAGTTCCTCACGACTACAATGAAGGCAGCAGTTACACGTCCACCCGTCCCTCCCTCCCCACCCTTCCAGCTATTCAGTCCTGTAGGAAAGTTCTCTTCTTGTCCGTTGCTGTTTTATTGGGTCTGAACTTCATCTGTCATGTCCAAGTTCTGTTGTACCAGAGTAAATCATTGTGGCAGGTCCCTTATAAGTCACAGTACTGACTGCTGTTTAAAGCCAGCACTGCATTTCTCAGTTACTCCAGTCTTTATGAATTTTAGCAGCTGCTCTGCTGTAATTTCTCAAGTGCTCATTCCATCCTCAAAACCAATACAAAGTTATAAAAGACAAAACAGATGTAGACTGCATTCCTCATCTGTAATAGAGGATGTATATTTTATTTTAATGCTACAATATAGTAAAAGTGACTTAAAGCAAACCCACTAGTAACCAGAATAAAGAAACAAATCATGTGCCCACAATACATAAAAGTTGGATTTATCTCCAGGATTGAGACAGCTACTAATTAGACATCAAAGCCTGAGTTAATCTTCGTAGGCTCCCCTTATAGTCAATTGACTTGGAAAAAATAGCTACACAAGGCAGTCGATCTTATTTTAACATTTTATTGTATAGACTGTGTCACACAGTTGTTCTCTGGAGGTACATTTTCCTTCTCTGTGAAGGGAGGATGAAGATGAGATTCAGATGTCTGTATTGGGGTAAATGAAAGCAGTCTTACTTTTCTTTTTTTTTTTTTAAAAATTTAGGAGAGTATCTATGTAAAAGGAAAATACTTCTCTTAAAATTTGGATAGAACTATTTTTGCTGTTTCTGCTAGCCTTCAACAGTGTGTAGCCCGTATATAGGAAATCTTGCTTTTCTATATAGAATAATTCACATACATTTAATTTGTCACTTTGAATAAATTGTGTGTAGGTTTTTAATCTCACTTCATATTTAATCAACCCTCCAATGCTAAAAGATAATAATTAAGCTATTTTGTTTGTTTCACTCAGTGTGTAGTCACAGGAGAAATAAGATATATATCTTAGTAGCACCTCTTCTAAAATGAGCTCATGATTGTAACTGTTACTTCGAGGTACTTCTAGAAAAATTACACAATAAATTATGGTTTACTGAGCAATTTGCCCAGAATTATCTGAAAATTTAGATACAGTTGACAAAGATTGTTAGTTCCACTGTATGTAATGACAGCGGCTGGGACACTGCAGATCAGACAGTGGGAGCAATGTGGAAGCTGTGTGAACTAAACAGCATGTTTGGCCAGCAATTTTCCATTGCATGGCTTCTGGAGAAGTAAAAGTTTATGGCCTGGTGTGCCACTTTAGTAAATGATGTAGGTGAGAAGTGATAATCAATATATCACAAAGTTTTTCATCACCTAGAGGCACCTCAAGAGGTTGGAATGGCCAGTAGAACTGAGAAACTTTGCCAACTGGTCTTTATGAAAAATAAGTAATACATACAGAAAACAATTGTTCTAATATTCAGCTTTACTGCTTGTCAAGATGATAAACGGTCTCAGGTCAGAGGTGATTTACCTTTTTATATAAGGCCAGTTTTGACAACTACTGAAGTTTACAATTCCTCAGCAAAAGAATGTCCCTAACCAGCAAAATATGAGATATTAAAAAAAGAGAAATTCTGGAAGAGCTGTTTTTTAGCATCTTTTCTGCTAGAACTAATAAAATTCTAATCAGGTAAGTACCACAAAAAAATTCAATGAACAGTGAAAAGTGATTGTTGAATTAGGCTACTGCATTAAGCTATTACCAGGTAGAATAACATTTAACCTAAGTAAAAGATTAAACTATTAAAGCAGGATACTGTACAAACATGTATTTCCTACTCACTAATGGTAACAAAACAGAGCTTAACAGTTTCAAGCAAAGATCAGTGTTTCTTAAACACTGCTAGTCATTAGCACTAAGTTTTCTAAACACTGCTAAAGTTTCTTAAACACTGCAAGTTTCTCATTCAAATATGTTTTATTTGTTTAAACAAATAATAAGCCAAGTAGCATTTTTCTGAAGTTAACATCAGCAGGAGTTACACTGCATCAGAACTGTGCTGCAGTAGTGATCCTCACCATCTGCTTTAGTTAAGACATTAAGACACACTGACGATTTCAATTGAATAATTGAGGAAAAAAATTTTCCTTGACCCCTAGTTAATTAACATTTGGTTGGTATAAGTAGCATAAGGCTTCATATCCTTCTTTTTAAATTTATTTTCTAATTTTTAATCCTGACTGGTTTCAGTATGGGTTCACTTGTTATTTTCCAAGAATAGATGTTTATAGAACTCCCTTTCCCACATGCTATTTTTCATACAGTTAAAATCCTGGCATTGGTGATGGGGAAACTGAGGTTGGCAGTGAGTTCCACAAAATTTAGAATTTTAAGAAATAGGATTTCCTATCCAGAGTAGAAGACCAGTGCAAGCAAAATTCATGGGGAGTTTACCATAAGCAGAGGTTAGAAAAATGGCAGAGAAACTCCCTTTCTAGAGCATATATTTGTACCAAATCTACTAAAATAAACATGCTGTATCTTGGCTGCATGGGTTATAATTCATGGACTTTATGTGGCCATATTTGTTGAAGAAAGATTTGAAGTGAGCCCAAAGAGGCCACTGGTAAGGCACACAATGGCCTGTGAAGAGAAGAGTGGTTAGTACCTACACAGTGCTTAGCCAGTCCTTGTCCAGTGCAAGGACAAAAGCTTGAATTGCTGGAACTTGGTCAGTGTTTTGTTTCAATATGACCAAGATTTTAAGTCATGACTTTGTGGAAATGACACAGGAAATACAGTGATGCCTTTATCCTGCAGCCAAAACGCCTGTCTGTGCTTTACCATGCCACGGTGGCTCCAGCAGCAGGCAGATGCTTGGGATCCTCTGAGCTCGTCCTTACTGTGGCAGGCTGGGGAGCAAGCTCAAGCCCCAGCTGCTGCTCCCCACAACTCTTCATTACCTCCCCATGTTCCACCAAGCCCTCTTTCAAGCAATGGCTGCCCACTGCTGCAGGGAGAGTCTGCATCAAGCACTGCTCCTGATATCACATCTTGTTTGACTTCATGCTGCCTGCTCTTCTAAACTGCTCGAGCTGTGCACCCTCAAACGTGACCACACGCCAAAACATATAACACACCCCCTCACTTTCATGCTAGGAAAGCACCCTTCTCACAGCCTGTAATACAGTGTCACGTAATTTCAGATACTTCAAATTATCTAAAAAGATAACACAAAAAAACCCAGAATGGCAAGTTGGATCTATAGGGGCACCAGAAAGAGTCCAAGGAGGACTGCTTGATGTGAATGTGGGAGTATGCTCAAGAGGGAACTAGCCCCAGCTAATGTGAATATAAGCCATATATGTGCCCCTTATATTCCCAATATAAGTCTTTCTTAACATCAGGGACTTTTTTTTTTATTATTAATTAGAAATACAAGTATGCCCTCTGAAATCAGGTTGTGTGAACCCACAGCATTTCTGCAGATTACCTGAGCTTAGACTGCCTTTGTTCAGAGTACCAGGTGTGAATGAGTCTAGCACAGGCTTATACAGACACACAAAACCAGCAACTCCACGCATAATTACTGTTCTCTAAACAACCTGAGTCGTGAAGATTCTCCAGTCCAGTTTGCAGATGCCCCTGTTGAGACTCCTGTAAAATTAAAAGGATTTTTCTTCTGAATAAAAAAATATACAGAGAAGAAAGTGCATTTCTGTAACTTCAAACAAAATCTGGATTTAAGAGCAAGCATCTTCTTACACAGTCCATGTTGGAGTAAATGAACCATACCAAAGGTCAGTAAATGTCAATGTTCTGTAATTTTCAGCCTTCAGAGGATCAAAGAAATCTAAAGAAGTGGTTCAAGTTGAGACATTTGGCAAAATAATGAGGTGGAAAGCTTTCAAAGTTTTCTGGAGAAAAAACCCTACAGTAATTGGACATAATTCTTAAAATCTTCATTTAGGCATTACTAAATAAAAATGCTGGTTCCTTTTCTGAGCTAATGAAATGTCAACAAAAGAAAATCGTGGTATAAAAACCAAAGAGCTGGTTTTCAGTTATTTTCAGGACATAAGAGGTTTGTTTATTCAAAAATCTGTGACACTAGCAAATAAGCTGTTCACTTTAAACAATTTGACAGGTTGTTTTGGTTTTTGTTTGGTTTGGGTTTTTTTTCATTTTCAGCTGTATTGTACAATAAATTAAGTTTGCTAGAAATACACTACCAGTTCAGCACAGATTTTTTTTAAACAATTAATCTCCTTACCTGGCATACTTTTGTTGCCTTAGAGCAGCCCAAGGAACTGATCTTGAAAATGCCTAAGGAGATTAAAAGATAAGCTTCAGTCGATTGTTGAAGGATAACTTAGAACCCTAACTGATCAGTCATTTAGGGAATTTCATTGTTGTTGCTTCACCTCTTCAATCAGCCAGTCCAAAGGGATCTCATTAACATCTCCCTAGCACCTCTAAGTGGGAATTTTGACTAGATTGTCACAGCTTCCAGAAATAATCTATTTTTAAGTGCTAAGTATATAAATGCAAATTGAGTGGAAACAGCTGTTATTTACATTCTGTGGACACGTGATTTCAGTCCCCGATGCACAGGGGAAGAAAAAAAGCGACTGAAAGACTGAAATGCCATTAAAGAAAATGGAAAAATAGGGATCTAATAAAAATACATGCAATGGACCATACTGTCAGGTGGCATAAACTGGTAAAGCTTTACAGGTTTGCCACCACAACATTATATAGCCCACCTGCCAGGAGGATGTGAAGAGCTCCATGTATTTCTTGGAGAAAGCGGGGGGAGGAGTTGAAAGAATGAATACACTGAAACAAAAGCATATGAACAAATTCACGTTTCAGCCTTTTATGCAGTGGCTAACAGAGAACCAGGCTGTTTTCAGAAACAGTCTCACAGAACAAAGCCCCCATTCACAACAAGATTTTGCTATGGACTTATGTTAGTTTGAGATTATGTTCTGGAAAAATTACAAAAGCTTCTGAAAAATGTAAGGAGCATATTCTAGACCAGTGTGCCTGAAAGTAGAGGGCTGCGCTGGAGAGAAAAGGAACCATAGTGTGAAATTTCCCCCTTTCAATGAACCCACTTTTTATGAGCCTGGCAGAGGCCCTCCTGCGTGTCCTCTCTACATGGCCCCCTTCAGTTACCTGGAGCAGGTCCCTGCTGTCATGTGTTCCACCGGAAAGCTCAGGCTCCCTCCTGCCACGCCTGCTTCTATCTGTAACATCACCAACAACCACTTAGAGTAGAAAGAAGTAACAGACTGTCCTCAGAAAAGGTTAGGCATGTTAAAAAACGTACACAAAACACGGCTGCTAATTTCATTTGGACCAAACCCACTCAGTCAAATCAGCAAGAAGAATGTGGGCTGGAGAATTAAAAGTGGGATTTTTTTGCTAGGATTTTTTTCCTTATAGGAGGAAAGGAGTTGACATACTCAGCACAGTTAAAGCTCAAGCACCACAGAAACGTTGATTCTTAAGTGCCTGTTGAGTGATTCCCTCCAAGATTAGTTCTGTTTGACTTAGGATTGCTTTGTGCCTGCCAGCACACAAAACCTGTCATAACACAGGGAAAGGTGGAACAGAAATTTCATTCTCGTTCCATTTCAGATACACTCTTGCCTGCTGTTCTGTCCTACGCAAACAATACATCCAATGTCTAAATGCATCCTTTAGTTCCTTCCCAGAATAAAGACTGATCTACAGCAGCAGGTTTTGCAGCTTCCTTCCATCTAGCATTATGTGGCATGAAATGCTGGGGAAAAAGTCTACTGTGCCTCAGGCATCTTTCTGGATCAAATTTATTCGCAGAGGGATAATTTATCAGAGAATTGAGCTCTGAAGAGACCACTAAACACAATGTTAAAATTTTGAAATACAGGGCAATGGCACTGAAAGTCAGAAAACATGTCTCGCCCAAGCTCACACTTTATAAAAGGCTTTGAATATTTTGTAATAATTATGGATATTATTTCCCCTCCTCTGTTAATTTATAAAGACAGAGAGATAATAACAAACTTCAGCAAATCTGAGTTTGGTTACACCGAGCCATCTGTTAATTCTGGTATATGGCAGTAGAGGGCATCTAAGGACTTCAAGTCACATATGGTAAGGGATTAAAATCAGATGGCTGAAGGAGTTAGTTCGTTCACCCCACCCCGTGACATCTTGCCACCTCACAACCAAACAGCTCTCGAAGCTGCTCCTGAACGATGGTAATTTTGAGCCATGCTGAAACTGGAGTTGATCTTAACAACCAGACTGAAAGCTGAAGTTGTTTAGGAGGAGATGCAGGAGTTAATGTTTCTTCCCTGCTGGAAGCAGTGGTCTGTCAGAGCCACAGGAAGGATGGTTTCAGACACAGTACAGGGGGAGATAGTAACTGCCTCAAGCAGTCTATCCAATTTTATCTACTACTGTTTGAGCTTTAATTTCCACATACCTGGCAAAACTGCTTACAGGAGCAGCAAGCAATTCTGGGAATGAAAGGTCGTACCAAGAGAAGGCAAGCTGTGGACCAATGCTCTTTACTTAACCAGAAAGAGTAGACCTATGTCTACTTCCTCTGCTGAGCCTAAAAAATGCCAATCTGTCTATCTGGCCTGTGCTTCAGTTTATGTCCTCCCAACACGCTAATCAGTTATAGAACAATGCTTCGAGTCATCCTAACAAAAATCAAGCACGAATCCTGACAAATATAGAGAAGGTAGGTAGTTGGCAGCTAGCACTGTGTTCTCGTCATCTGTCCAGGTTTGTATGACATTCCACATCCAGCCTCTCTCTGTACTGAAGCAGGGAAAGCAGCCATGCCTATCTTGAGCCAAAAGAAGCCAACATGTCAGAGGCAGGTTAAGGTCATTACCTGACATTAGCACTTAATGCACTAATTTGAAAAATGTATTTGAGCCCAGCAGCATATTCACGTACCATGGGCAACATATTTCCAATTAACTATAAGAAGTTTAAAATTATATAAACATATTAGTAAATGTTGATTAGCCTGTTATTCAAACTTCTAATACAGCAACACAGCAGGCCTTATGCTGAAGTCTATTATAGCCTTAACCTGAAATTTAAAAGTGGCTCATGCCCAGGAAAAGGTTCTACAACTCATTTAATGATCCACAGCACTCCTGAAATTATATTCATTTGTCTGCTCTCCATGGCAGCACTTTCAATCATAAACACTTAATTGCGGGAATTCATCCACAAGGCCAAATAGTTCTGTGTGAATTAAACCATCTTTAATATAAGAATTAGAACAGTGATTTTAAAATAATCTTTTTCTGGTGGGAGGCCATTTATTGACAGACATATAACCCAATTTCTTCTTCATCTTTATTTTCCTTTGTGCTCAAGTATCTCCCCTTTAGAGATAGCCACTTCATCACCTGTTTTGGTTTTCCCTATTAGTTCCGGAACTGACACTTTGCCAACAAAGGAACTTTAATTGCTTAAGGATTGGCCGAGCACAGCAGAGCTGCCTTCATGCCGTCTGTCAGGAAAACTTTTTTCACAGACATTACTTGCTTTCTTTTACTTTGGGAAGTAGGACTTGCAACTGGCAAGAAAACAGCTCAAGCCTCCTCAATCTTAAAAGGCTTGTTTTTTCTGGCAGCATCTAGAACAAGAATGCAAGATTTCACAGTGCTTTCAGCTGTGCTATCTCTAGGATTTTTCTAAAACAAAGAGTGTATGTTTCTTTAAAAATCCAGAACTTCAAAGAGCGTGTTTCTGAACGTGTGTAGGTATAGATGTATGTGTATATATACACCTATATGCTCTTTCTCAGCCAAAAGAACAAGGTAAATAAATATTACAGTCACAGCATCTTATACTATAATCTGAATATGAAAATCCATAGCATATATTCTCCTAGTAGTTGTTTGAAATGAGTGTACCAAAATGGTCCTTTCTAGCAGTCTTTTTTCTACTTTTTTTCTACTTACAGCTTATCCTTCAGTAACTGTCAGCAATATTTAGCTAGTGTTAGTCAGAGTGAAATTGGATAATTCACAAAATAACAAAGTAATAGACCAGAATTCTGCTGTTTATAAAGAAGCCTAACACAATATAAAGTGAAAAATGCTGTGTAAATTATCTTTTTTTTTTACTTAGTACCCTGTGTCACCACATTCTACTTTTCCTTTAGGAGTCCATCCAAATTACTTTCAGTTATTTTGGTTTTACTTAAAATTGTAAATAGCAGAGAAACTAAGAAAGCACTACATTTAATTATTTTCACTGAAGATCCTAAGTGTGTCTAGATAACCTCTTACTCACTGCAGTTGAGGCCTTTAGTTTTAAACAGTAGACAGCACATGATGAGGTGAGAGCTGGACTTAAATGCCACCTTTTTCTGGTCAGTTCCATGCTTGTCGCTGGTTATTTACCTATCCACTGAACCAAAGGAAATGATCCTTTGTTATCTCAATGGTCTCTGAAAGAAAAGAATCTGGATGTTATTTCAAAGTACTACTCTCGTAGTGCCCTCTCTTGATGGTTTGCTTTAAAATTAAAAGTGCTGATTTTCTTTTAGAGCACCCCTGATTCATAGAAATTATTCACTGAATTTTTTGTTATTCTCCTTTACCAAATGCATATTCTCAAGAAAGACAAAGCATTCACATCTGAAGAGATAAAAATGACAGTAAATAAGGTGGCAGCTGGTAAGTAGTAAAATTATCTGGTATAAATCATAATTTATTTCATCAAAACATTCTATTCCTCAGAAAGCTGGAAAGAGCAGGGTGATCCCATTTAGGAAAACACTTGCTTTCTCTATGCTTTATTTATTATGTTTTAGGAACTCTTGGTGAAATAGGCAAACCGTCCTCCTGACTGCTAAGTGAGAAATTCTCTAAGTTCACATTGCAGACCTTGTTTGTGCTGTAGAGCTATAGTTAACCCATTCCAATTTGCTTGAACTAAAGGCTCAATATTCATATTTCTCTGCTCGAGAACCAGACTGCAATCCAGAGAGGGAGGAACAGTGGCAGTTGTACACCGTTATTTAGATCAGTTCAGGTAAACAGTTGTCAAAATATGGTCAATAAGAAGAGGTGTGTCATATGCCATAGCTGGCCTTTAAACTAAAGGGGATTTTTTCCTGACCAAATGGTATGTCATAGATAATGGATATTCTGTGCTGCAACTTTGGGAAGTAAAGATGCAGACAGCAAGCAAAGGCCCCTTGTATTCCTCCAAGTAGCTAGATAAATCTAGCTTAATAAATCAGTAAGTCTTTTCAGCATATCAGAGCAAATTCAGCAAAATCAGCTGGGTCAAAAACACATTGCCCCCTCCTCTGCTTATATCATATTATATAAATAAATCAGCATGCTAGCTCTCCAGTAAACTTGGCATACTTCTCAGGAACAAAGTGAAAATAATTTCTAGCAACAGGCACTTTACAGGACTGTAAAAATGTTTTTGCCTCCTTCCTTGATCATGAAAGGGATTTTTGCCTAAAGGAAAAATAAAAAGTAAATTCACTCATCCCTCCCTGTCTTGGGCACATATGTTTGAAATCAAGTCAGGAACAATATATTCTTCTGATGATTTTCAAGAATTCTTAATGTTCATGTTTTCACTACTAATGTAAAACTCGATTAAATATATCTACAATCTGGATGATATACATTGAGAATCAAAATGTTCAGGAACAGTAGAAAGGATCTGGGGGAAAAAAAATAGACATTGCTTAACTTTGTGCCTTTCATCCCCAGTAAGGTGATATGCCTCTAAAATTGACTCAGAAGCATTCATAACTGTATATGTACAGGCAATGTTTGTCCTAGAATTGCTACCCCAAAACACACAGATTAAAAATAAATAAAGCATTGGGTTTGAATTGTACTTAAAAATTCTAAATCCCCATTTGTATATAGTTTTCGTATTTGTGACTGTTTAGAAGAATTACTGTTTGTTATATGGCAAAGTAAAAAAAAATTATTTTGTTTACATGAAGGGAAGCTAGGTTTTCAGAATCTGCTTTTTTTTTCTCCATTTCACATCTTTCTCCTACTCCATTAGAATTTTTACACAGTAAAACATTTAAGGCAGACCAAGCCTGTATTAAACGTTCCAATGCCAAAGAAGCTCAAAAGTAGCTTTAAGTAGTTTCATGCACTACATATGGCCCAGAGTCCCAAAAGTAATTTAATTTAGTCACTTTTTCTTACCCTTAAAGCTATTTTTTTTTCTTCTCTGTGACTGTATGGAAGACTCACATAGATAGAAGAGAAAAACAGCAACTAACATTGTTGAGAGAAACAGTGAAATTCAAACATACTTCAAGGAGCCCATAGCACTTATGGAAGTCTCAAGCCAGAGAATAAAGGTAACTGTGAACCAGAGTACTCTTATGAGGTGCCAATATTGTCATTTAAAGATTGACTTGCAGTTTTTAAGTTTGAATTTCATTACCCTTGTAAATTTATAAGATATTTAGTGCTGTTTTTAAAAGACAGTAAATTCTCTAGAAAAAAAAAATTAACAGAACTCTGTTTAGGAAAGATCCTGCTGATATACTGCCTATTTAATTTTTATGCTACCTTTTTCATAACAATATCCTAAGTTTTAAGCAACAAATATTTATTACATTCTTCTGTTCTTGTTTCTCATTCACCACATAAATCATGGTCTTCCTCTCTCTACCTTTATAGCAGCCAGCTGTGGTTTTAGAAACAAATTATTATGACTTCAAGTGATGAATAAACAGCAGAAGCAAAGGAAGTCTTGAGATACTATCCACATACAAATTCCATTAATAACATAACATAGGGAAAGAGAACTACAGCAAAGCTGTAAAAAAGCAGCTTTGCACCTAGGCAAGATGCATTCCATTTCTCCAAGATGCATTAGTGAACTTTAAATAAATAGCCCTAATTTGAACACTATGATATCAAAATAACACATTTTTGAGCAAAAGCTCTGTGCCTGCATATATGGAATTATTCTAGTAATAAAACTAGATCTGTATTATTTTTTTATTGTTCTCGTGAAAATAGCAAAGCCAGTGCCATTCTGGAAAAATTAATATAAGTTTTATGCAAGATCTCACATCACCGGTAGCTGAACTGTCAACTAAATTTCAAGGAGTACAAATGTATTCTCTCCCCTCTTCACATCTATCCAACAAAAAGTTAGTGGGGATTCTGCAAGAGTCACTGGAGGCTGGATCTGAGGCTATCTGAATTGCACGGACAAAAACAGGAACAAGAATGACCTTCAGGACACGGACAAAAACAGGAACAAGAATGACCTTCAGGACCTAAATTGTTTTAAACCATTTCTGAGAATGCTTAAGAAAGACCGTGTTTGTTCCTCAGACCTCATTTTAAATCTGTGCTGCTGCCAGTGATTAAAACCACCTTTTTCATAAACTGAATAAATTAAATTCAAAAGCACCGAGGCATGACAAAAAGGTGAAAGTATACTGACCAATATTTCACTTAACAAAGTAGATTTTTTTTTCTCAGATGAATCTGCTTAATTACTAAATATAGCACTTAATTTTTAAGATAACTATTAACTCTCTTATTCCCTGATGCTTAAGAATTATAAGCAATAGCTGTTACAAAGTCCTTCAGGAACTGGTTTTTTTTTTTTTATTGTTATTATTTTAAAGAAACGTCGAATTACAGGCGTTACTGGGGAGTACGACCCAAGGCAGCGGGTCCCTATGGGAGTTTTCTCCGTGCAGAGGAGGTGCCCGCTCTCTCAGCCAGACAGTCCAGCCTAATACATATTCATTTACCACTTTGATAACAAAGACTCCCTCCCCCCTCCCGGCCTGATTTTTAAGGAGATTATTTTGTACTTTTTTTTTTCCCCCGAGGGTTTCAAAAAGACACCCCTTAATCCTTCTTCCGTCAATTCGCGCTCCCAAACACCGCCGTGCAATTTGCAGGGAGCCCTGACCTGCAGATAAGGGCAGGGGTGAAACTATTACGGCTACTTTTCCTTTGTTTTCCCTCTTTTTTTTTCCATTTTTTTTCTGTCTGTCTTTCTAAAGTTGGCTCGGGGCCGCCCGGGCAGCGACAGAAGGTGGCTGGTTACTGAGCAGCACCCGCGGCGCAATCAATCATCTTTACGCCGAAAAACAGCTTCGCGGTTATTAAAAATAATAGATAATAATAAATTAAACAAAAAAAAAGGAATCGGGGCGCGGGGTGTGTGTTATGTGAATTTGGATCGGCGGGCGCATCCGGCGAGCAAGGGTGTTTGTAGCCAACGAAGGTACTTTACCGGAGGCTGAAGGGGGGTGGAGGACCAGGGTGGGGTGTCCCAGCGATGCTTCGTGCCGCCGCAATTTCCGCTTGGCACGGAGCTCCTGGCAATCAGCCCCTGACGCGCTGCCGGCCCGGAGGGCGGGCCCCGCCGCCGCGCTCAGGTGCCCACGGCTTGCCGGCGCCTGCAGGCGGCACCCCTCGCCCCCGCCGTCCCGGGCGGGGGGGCCGCGCTTCAGCTCTGGCCCGCGTTACCTCAGGGGGTCCCGCCCGTGCCGGCCCCGCCGGCCCGCGTCCCCCCCGCGGCCCCGGGCAACTGACCTGCGGCGGTCGCACCGCGGCCCCGCGGGCGGAGGGAGGAGGCGGGGGGGCCGCGGGCCAGCATTCGGCGAACCGCTGCCACCGCGTGACAGGCGGCGGCTCGGTGCGGTCGGCCCTGGCTGCCGCGATCGCGGGCGGCAGGCGCCGGAGCGGGTTCTGTCACATGATGCGGTTCCTGGAAAGTTCCTGGAAAGCAGCCTTTGTATGTAACCATCCCGGGAGGGGGGAGCGGCGGGGGCAGGATGCCCTCGCCTCGCAATCAAAGGCGAGCAGACCGCCCGCGCCGGGAAGAGGGGGGGAGCGGAGGGTGTTGTTTCCCCAGAAGCACCATCCTTCTCCGGCAGCCTCTGTTCACCCCAGCACAGCCTCAACGCTTCTCCCCGGCGGCGAGTGCTCTGTCCCTGCGGCCCCGCAACGCCGCCGGGAGCCAGAACAACCTGACCACCCCATCTCCAGGCGGTGGCAGCGGCGGCCCCAGCCCCGTCCCGCCGAACCCGGGTGAGTCCGCTCGCCCCCCTCCGCTCGATGAGCTGTCGCGCTTCGAGAGCGGGCAGCCCGCCTCCCCGCTACCGGGACGGCGCTGCCGACTGGTGGGATGGGGCTCCCCCGCAGCCGACGGCAGGCTGCTCCGGCGCTCCTCGCCCCGGCCGGGGGATGCCCCTCTGCAGCCATCCCCCACCGCCTCGCAAGCCTTCCGTCCCCATCGAACTCCCGCGAGCGGCGGCGCTTCGCGGCCAGGCTCTCTCGAGCTTCCCTTTCACAAGAGGTCGCGCCCGGACACCGCCGGCAGGGCTGCTCCCACCTGTGCTCGGCGGCCCCGCGCTCGCAGCCGCTCCGGTGACAGGCGCACCTGCGCCCCGTCCCCGAGCCGGCAGCGGGAGCTTCTAAGCGCAGCGGAAGAAGGGGATGGGCTTCGCCAGGGGATTGCTGCTAGTGCATATGTTAAGATAGAAACCCGGCAGAGCAGCCTATTAGTTGCCACTATAGTTCAATTTGGAAAAGTTTCTGAGCTCCGCCATGGAACTTGTTACGGAAGGAACCACCTCGGCATAATGCCTCACCTGGTGGCTGCTGCGCACCCGGAGGCAGAGACTCTGCCCGGTTCGCAAGCACCAGCAACGGGTCCAGGTCTTTATGGGTCTCCCTCCACCCCAGCTAAGCCGGCTAGGCTCCCCCTCACTGGTGCTGCCCGGCTTTGTATTGCTCCTGACGTGACGGTGCTCCTAGTAGAGGAGAGGCTCTTTTTGTCCCTCCCGTTCGCTTCAGCCGAGCGGAGAGATTTTTTTTTCCTAATATCACATTTAATAGAGCGGGAAAAGCACATTTCCTGCTCCTGCTAATTATATCGCACCCTCCACCATGCTGCCCCTTCCCGTTCCCAGCGGCCAGCGAGCCCCCGGAGCCGGCGTTGCCCGCGCACCCGCTCCGCAGTTTCTCGGACAGGCAGCTGCCCGAGAAAAGCTCTCCCACCCCGGGAGCACGGCCCAGGCCGGGCTCCCGTTCCTGGAGGTACGAGTTGGCGTATGATCTTACTGAAAAGCACTACCGTACCGTTCCTACGCACCGCAGCGTGCAAGCCGGGCAGGGCCGGGGCTGGTACTGCCCCACTCCGTTGGTTACCCCTCCTCACTCATACCTTTACGTGCTCGGCTCTCCCCTACGACCTCCTCCCTCCCCAAACGCCCCCGCCTCGGTGCTGCCGGCCAGGTTCGCCTGCCCCGGCGGAGGCGGCGGCGCATCAGCAGGTTTGCCCTTGCAATAAAGCGAGACCACCTTCGCGGGCCGCCGCCTCCGCCGCGTGCCCGGCGGAGGGGAGCCGAGGACAGGCCGTGTGCTGGGGGGAGGAGATGTCCCTCCCCCGCTCCGCCGCGAGGTGATCTCTCGCCTCGGGTTCCTCCTCTGGATGCTGGGAAGTTCCGAAGCGGGATCGCCAGAAACACACGGGCTGCGAGAGGGAGCGCCTCTCGCGGGGCTCGTCGCTAACCACGCTGTCTCTCTGCTCGCAGGCGGCGCCCGGGCTGGGGACCGGGACATGTACCCGGACAGGCGCTGGAACACCGCGCGGCGGCGGCGAAGCCGGAGCCCTCCCCCGCCGGCAGCCCCGACCTGGTGCGTGCGAGCGGGCGCGCCCCCGCGCCGCCGCCGCCACATTGACCCTGCGCTCGGCCGAGTCGCTGGAGAAGCTGCGAGAGGCTCCCAGACGCGAGGGGGCACCGGGCGAGGTGCGGCGGCGCCCGTTGCCCGAGGAGTGCCCGTGAGGCGGCGCAGCTGGCCGCGGCTATGCGCCAGGAGCTGCAGGCGGGGCAGGTAAGCCCGGGCGGCCGCGGAAGGGGAAAGCGCCCGGGGGCGGCGGCGCTCGCCCAAGCTGCCTCCCGGCTCCCCGCCGTCCTCGCCGCGCTCGGCCCGGCTCGGGCGGAGGCGGCGGAGCCTCGCGGCCTCGAGCAGGGGAAGGCGGGCGCGGGGCGACACGCTTGCCCCTCGCCGCCCGGCTGGCTGGCGGGGTCGCGCTCCTCGCGGCGGAGAGGGGCGGGCGGCGGCTCCGACCTTCCGCGGGGCTGCGGTCGACCGGCCGAGAGCGAAAGCTCCGGCAGCGCCTGCGCCCGGCGGCAGCGCCAGGCGATGGCGGCCGAGGTAGAAGGGCCTGGGCTGCTGCCCGCCGCCGGGCGGCCGCGGGCGCCGCTATCCCCCCTTCGGCCGTCCGCGTACGCTGCCGCTCCCGCTCGGCCGGCGTGACGGCGGCTCGACCACGGCCCCGCCAAGACCGTCGGGGCTTGCGGCGGGCGGCTGGAAGGGCTTTTTGTGTCCATCGCCGCCTCGCCAGGACCGCAGCCGCCCCGCCGGAGTTGTTTTCTTACCCCTCTCTGTTTCCGATCGCTACACAAAGCTCATTTTAACAGCAGCCTGCCCGGAGTTGCTGGGCTCTCTGCGGGCTGCTAGCCTGTGCCGTGCGGACGCCGCGCCGGCCCCGGCGGGAGCGCAGCGGGGAGCCGCGGGACGCGTCCCTGCTGCCTCGGGGCGGCCCGCCGGATCCGCGGCTCCCGTGTCTGCCTCGCAGGACGCTGCGGGAAAGTTTGTGCCTGTGTATGCATAGATATGAAAATAAAGGGTGACCTGAACGACTCTGTCAGAACGAGACGCATTGTAAAGCAAATGGATTTAAATAGCAAATAAAAATTTTATTGTGCCTGCAGGACTTTAGCTTTCAAACAACAAAGGAAATGGGTGACTACAAGTATATCAGCTAAAGAGCAACTTTTTAAACAAACAGGAATAAACAAATCCCTTTTTTTTTCTCACTTTTTAACAGGATGGTACTGGGGCAACATGACTGTTGCTGAAGCCAAAGAGAGATTACAGGATGCCCCCGAAGGAACCTTTTTGGTTAGGGATAGTTCACATTCAGAGTATCTACTGACTATTTCAGTAAAAACATCAGCGGGACCGACCAATCTACGTATAGAATATCAAGATGGCAAGTTTAGACTGGATTCTATCACTTGTGTCAGATCTAGACTTAAACAGTTCAACAGCGTTGTGCATTTGATTGAGTACTATGTTCTTATGTGCAAGGACAGAACTGAAACACCTTCAAATGGAACAGTTCATCTTTACTTGAACAAACCCCTCTATACGTCCGCTCCGTCTCTGCAACACCGCTGCAGAATAGCTATAAACAAGAGTACAAATCAGATCTGGGAGCTGCCATTACCAACAAGACTAAAAGAGTACTTGAAAGAGTATCAATACCAGGTATAAATATATTTTCTAAATGCCTCTAACATAGAGTAACTTTTGAATGCAATTCTTAAAATCAGCCAAAGAACTGAGTAACTACTTGTACAACTCCACATGGAATTCACTATCAAAACAGTGGCAGTTCTGGGGAAAAGGTTTTTATTTCAGATGCCACAAAGGGAGACTTTATGTAGGATAATCCCAACTTGCATCCTTGAGGGTTCAACAAGGTGGCATGCTATTCTTGCAAGGAGAGAGAAGTCAGGAATCTATCCAGATTGTGTTGCTTTGTCAATGGCATAAAATGCTGCACTAACTATCCAATGCTTACTGAAGCAGTGGGACTGGGAGAGACTGCAGAAGTGGTCAGAGACGTATGAGAGTTCACAAGTATCTCACTTGTCTGATTCCAAGATTAATTTGGTGCTGGTGTTCATATAATCCTAAAAGCTTAACTAGATCACACTGTGATAATCTTGCTGAAGTTATGCAACTAATCAAATCCAGTCAGAAAATGATCATGTATTCAGTTTTATTGAACTATTCTCTTGCTTTTCTGCAAGCAAAGGATACTGTAAGTAATCAGTTTAAAACATTGTTTTTCAAAGTTCTCTAAAGGCTGACCTTAAGAAGAAATGCCACATCTTTCACAGGAACCCAGTATGTTGCTGATTATACCAGATTGGTATCCCAGAATCCTTAACATGTTAACATCTTCACAGTGGTGATATATCCATGTTATTACTATTAAGCCTTTTTTGGTTGAGGCTTTAAGACTGTAGGCTGCAGACTTGCAGTTGCTCAGTTCCAATGTCAAAACATGGATATCAGCAGTTACAGCTGTCTTTCTACAGTGTAGAATGTTTTCTTCAGCTTGTTTCCCAAAATATGGGGAAATAGGATTTGGGTTTTGTTTGTTTGTTTTGTTTGTTTGTTTGTTTGTTTGTTTTGAGGTGGTTGGGTTTCTTCTTTCCTTTTTTTTTTTACTTCTAATTCACCATTGTAGCTATCAGACTATTACTCAATAAAGTAAATCAAATTGCACAACAATCTCCCAATTTTTGTATGTATCGATTTGCTATTATTGAGGAAACAGGGCTCTTATGAACCTATATAATTTTCCCAGTTAATACTCAGATAAATGCACATGTATCAGTGAGGATGAATACTCCTGCTTTGCCTTTGTGGTATAGCTGGATTACGTTCAGATTAGTGGCTTAGAGGCTGCCAGCTGAATTCCTGTAGTTAAGTATTAGCATAGGACCTTGCTTTTTCTGTTACAGCAGTCTTCCAAATGGGAGGAGGGGACTAAGACCCTCAGTACCCATTCCTCAGATTAAATGTGAAGTATTTAATAGAAGAAATACTCAGGATGAGAATAGCAGGAGAGCAGTAAAGAGAGACAAGGACATAGATTCATCCTCAGTCAACAAATTCATAGGTTTAGCTCTTTCCCTAGCTTATTTGTTAATTAAAGCAAGGACCTGTGCTTGAACAAGGAGGATTGTCAAGACTTGCTATAATCGAGCTCTGCCCAGGCTGAAGTAGAAATAGCATAAAATAATCTTCTTGTTTTCTTTGTGATTTTACTGCTCTGTTGTACCGTTCTCATAAACTTTGGGGCACTGACCAGCTTATTTGTGGCATCTAAATTCCCAGTATTATCCTCTCAATTTTGCAGTAACATGCTGGCAGAAATGAGTAGAAGAGCCATTCAGGAAAACAAGATACCAAGAACCTGAGGCAGATTGGATGGTTCCTTGGTATGCCAGATACTTGATATGTTCTCTCTGTGGAAAAGGCAGCTTTTCTCCTCCTCCATGGATTAAATTTTCTGTCCCCATTTTTAATGCAAGCTTTAGTGTAGAAATGGGGGGAGTTTTCTCCTGAAAAACAAAACAAAGGATTTTGTTATGTAACATTTTCCTCATGTCCTGCCAAAATGTAGTTGGAAATTTTTCACATTACATGGTGACCACCCTTTGGTTCCCATCCCAGAAGACTTGTATTCCAGGTATGTGTTATAATCACACAATTTTTCTCGTCAGCCTTGCTAGGATCTGCCACCCTAGGCTGAGGAGCTTTTCCTGTGAGCAGAGCCTGTGAAAGAACCATATGCCTGGGAACACTTTTCATTCTGAAGAATCTGTTTTCTCACAGTTCTTGTCTAGCTCTACCTTGCAGTGAGAGAGCTGCTATATGGAATAACTTCTGTCACAGTTAGAAACACTCTAATCTGCTGCTATGTTAACCTTCTACTACCGTGCATTTTCAGTCAAGGTGATATGCTTGGAGTCTCTGAGGATTTAAAATCATGAATACCAATGCTGGAGCAAGCAGACTGAGAGGATAAGTGCAATGAGACTGCTATATTGCAAATATAAGAAATAATTTATGGCTTATTGCTGGCAGCCTACTGTAAGCACACACAGGCCAAGTGTACCCCACGGCAGAGCCAAGCTCTGAGGAGCAACATGGGGCAAATGCAGGGAAGCTTGCTGGGTTTCTTGATAGCAGTTCTCCCAAGCACAAGGGCAAATGGTAGGCTGAGGACGAGGAGTGCTAGTAAAGTGAAAGGTGGTGATTCTTGTAAATAATCAAGATTAGTTACTGTCATGTGGAATCAAGTCACCAAACACTAAGCATACTGACTTCATGTCATTTGTATTAATTCCTGTGAGGAAAAGCAGGGTCTGTAGCTGTGGTGTGCTCGAAGCAGTGAACAGTATTTTAAACAGACTGGAGGGGGAACTAGTCCTCTTTGCATGAAAGCACGGTTCTTGTCCTCATTAGGATGCCAGTCCTAGGGTTGATGCATTGCACTAGTAAAACTAAACTGCACTATAGCTTGCTGAAAGCTTGGCTTCTTTCTAATGCAGCACAGAGGAAGGACTTGTTCTGGTACAAAAAATCCAAGGATAGCACATGATTGGATTACAGTGGTGCAAAGATCTTGCATGCAGACTTCGTGAATTTTTAGTCATGATCATGTTGTTCAAATATTTTAAAACAGTTTCAGTGCCTTTTTTCTTTTTTTTTCTTTCTTTCTGGATGTTGTGGCTTGTTTGCAGCACTAGCTTTTAAATTGCTGGCTCTTCAGATTCCAAAAATTACTTCTAACTGATATATATCATCTTGAATCCTAGTACAGAGTGTTCAGTGAAGCCAGTTTCACACATTCAATGCCCATGAGTCAACCAAAAATCATGATAAGGACTTTAATCCTAAGCCTTTTTTCTCACCCCCATGTGTTGGTTTAGTTTTTAGTATTTGAGTCTTGAGGTTTCAGATTTTCCAGCTTGTACCTGGAATGTTAGTTGCTGAAAACATCTTTATTTTAATTAAAGGAAAACTGAGAATCCTACAATCCTAAAAGGTGATGCTTAAAATAACCCCAAACAACCAAACCAAACGTAATTGCAAGATGAATGATGAAAATAGAATTGGTGACAGTATTTCATTTAGCACTAAACCTAGCAGAAGTGTGAACTATGGCAGCATTTTAGTTGTATGGGTACTTTCCTGCTGGTAGTGTTATCACCAGAGACAGAAAATGGTTCAAATACAAGATGAATGGGTAGAGTGGAAACGTATCCAAGCAGCTGCACCCAGTAATTTACATTAGAAGTGATTTTATTTTAATCTGATCTCATCTGTATTGTCCTTATTATATTTTATGTAACCCCATTCTAGATAAACAATATATAATTATTAGCAAGAAGGAAAAATTGTTCACTAGAATATGGGGGCAGAGGGCTTTTTTAATATCTTAAAACAATGCAGAACTTACTCTTCACTAGAAATGATGGAGCTTTATAATCTGAGACTCTTAGTAAGTCTCATCACCTTGAGGAAACAGAATCTACATACAGTACAAAGGACAGGGTTCTGTAGTTGCATGAATTCCTGTACCTTAGCCAGCTCCCATGTCTTAGCAAAATGTTCCTGCAGGTAAATTATCTTGCTAAAGATTGTAAAAAACTTTATTTACTTACATGTTCTATTCAAGAGCTTCTTCTTGTATTCCTGATAACAATCCTATGGATTTTTCCTTCGTCTATAAGCTTAGGCTCTAGCGGAAAGTAAGTCGAGTGGTGTCAGGGCTTTGCTCTCCTTAAGCCAAAACACATGATGGAAATGGGAAGAGAGATCTTTAGACAGGGGTAACACGTCTAAGGGTCATTGAAAATAAAGTAAAATAAAATTTCTGCTGACTTCACTGTCATTAAAATGAATCTAAGTGTCATATTTACTGCTAGAGGAAACAATGGCTTAAGGGATTCTAAAAATGGTATTGTTAATTCTCAATCATAAGAAACTTTATCAAAAGGAGGAATTTTATTTAGATAAAACTATAGAAATAAAAGAAACTTTTAGTATCTAAATCAAACAAATTCCAAATAGAATAACCAGAAATTAGTTGAAAGGTCTGAGCTTGTTAGTTCTTTATATACAAAGGAAGTGAATACGACAAGCTACTTTGGTATCTCAGCCTAGCTCCTGAAAACCACTTCTTTATTAGTGTTAAATTCAGCAGGTCTCAGTATTTTGCTAAGCCATTAGCATGACTGAAAATGCCTGGAAACAGCATTCCACTGCAGTCATCATGGTCTGAGCTCGCTTTACAACAAAGTGATTTGCCACAGTAGTGCTGAAATGGAGTGATTTCTACAGGGGGCTGAATATCTCTGAAGGGGGGACCATGAGGCAGAGTTGGTGCTGCCCAAGGCCATGAAGGGCATCAGGTGCTGACCATTGCTGGTCCTTATGTGCTGTCTTAGACAGAGGGCACGCTACAAACTAGGTGAAATACAGCTGCCAGGAAAACAGATGAGGAACTACTCAGCTTGCTAAGGAGGGAATTTCATGTCTGAAAAGGGACTGAAGGGAAAGAACGTGGAAGAGTCAGCAACTTCTGTGAGAGGTGGCACTTCTCACAAGGTGTATCAAATAACTAACCATCAGGATGAGTATGATACTGAAATGTGTTATTAGTAGAGATTAAAGGTCCAGGGGGATAACAAGTATCAGCACAGTTTGAATCCACATATAAACAAAGTCCGTCTAGATAACTGAATTTCAGGAAAAAAAAAAGCTTCTAGCAAAATCAGTCTGTCCTGGTACCAGGGTTACCAAACCAGGGGAGGTATTAACTGTGTTTATTAATCAGGTTATCTACAGGGCTTTGAAGCAGCCAGTGCCTCTGATAAAGTCTACAGAAATGTAAAAACATATCACCATAATTATGGTGTTTAATCTGCCTGATAAATTGTGAATTTTTTTCTACTTAGATCCTGTTTTAAAAAGGGATTGCACCTGTGTTACATTTTGTTTTCTTCCAGAGCTGAAGCCAGTAACTCTCCAGGAACTGAAATACCAAAATAATACCACTCCTTTCTATGGTATTAAGGAGGAATATAATACCAGAGCAAAAGCTATTTATATTAGCATAGGAGGTGGTTGGGCACTGAAACAGGCTCCCCAGGGAAGTGGTAACAGCACCAAGCCTGACAGAGTTCAAGAAGCATTTGGATGATTATCTCAGGCACATGGTGTGACTCTTGGGGATGATCCTGTGCAGGGTTAAGATTTGGACTCAATGAGCCTTATGGGTCCCTTCCAACTCAGCATATTCTGCGATTCTGTGAAGGCATTTAGTAGGAAAAACTTCAAGCAGATACTATCCAGGAAAAGTTTAGTGCTGAGTGCTGCAAAGAGCAAAATACATTTAAAAAACTCCCCACAAACTCAATGGTTCTGTTTTGATTTTTCTTTCTCTAGCAGGCAGGGTTTATGTAAGTAAATCTTTTTGATTCTGGTCAAATTGTTCCATAATTGAAGTTTCATATTTGAGGTTTGCAATTTGGTGCACTGTTGGTTAACAAATAATAAATGCAGAGGTATGTTAAATGTGGGGAAAGATTCAAAGCTCCACGCAAATTCTTCTTTTGAGATTATTTGGATCAGGCTTGATAACAGGAGTTATATAGAAAATAGTTGTAAATCTGGTAGCTGAAAGCTGTAAAATACCTTTTCAGAACGCT